CACTCTGTTATTTGAGATGACGTCCTCCTGCCAGTAGCAGGCCAGGTGCTCTGGACACTGGTGGCCAAGAACAGGCTTCAAAAGGTTAAGTAGCAAGTGACCATCTTCAAAGGGCTTCAGACTTCCCAGAAAGCTTTGGCTGACAGCCCTGACCTCGGGTCGGCGTTTCCTGCAAATGAACTTGTGATAGCTCCATGAGGGCAGGGACTGTGTCTGTCTGGCTCACCAAGGAGGCCCCAAGAACCACTAACAGGAGTGGGAACACCGCCAGCACTCAATACTGATTTGTTAAAACCACATTATGATAATGACAACTACTCACATGCTTAAAAAAGGACCAGAAGAACACAGGAGAGTGTTTGAGAGTCGGAGACACCCAAATTTGGAGCCTTCTGATGATACCATTAGTCATGGGCAATCCACTCTCTCTCTCAGCCTCTGCTTCTTCATCTCTAAGTAGGGATCGTAATACCGACCTCCAAAAGGGATTGCAAGCATGAGAAGGAAAACATATTCAAAGCACATGATAGAGAGCAAGTTTTGTCTTAAGTTAATAAACATTTTCGAAACTTTCGTCCTTCCTGTGTGACACAGACACAATTCAAGAGGATCCTGGGTCACACACATCGTTCCTTCCAATTCTTCTACCAATCCTTTGACGTAGGCTACACTTTATCCCATTTGGCAGCTAAGGGCACTGAGGCACAGAAAGATAAAGCAACACGCCCCAAGCCTGATATCCAAAAGTGGCAGGGCCAGGATTCGCATCAACTCCAGGACCCACACTTGGGAGGGTTACACACCTCGGCCTCTATAGCCGGCAGCTGGAGAATGTCAGTTTCTGTCCTGCTGTGTGACTGTGGGGGTTATTTGACCCCACTGCCAGGGCCCATCCTGGCAGACGGCACAGGTAGTCCTTCAAGGGTGCTCCTGGTTGACTCTTTAGTTTTGTTATGGTCTAAGCCCTACTCCTCTGAAGTCCAATTTCAGATGGGTGTAGGATCAAGAACTTCTCTCCCACACTGACTCCTGCTATCTCTTCCCAGAAAAAGACACACCACTAGGGTTTTGTTTTGTTTTGTTTTATAAAAAGGTTAAGACACATGCGGAGAAAGAGAGAGCCCATGCCTGCTCTTACCCACCTGCCCACTGCCATCAAGTGGGTTTTGATGCACAGGGAGGGACCTACAGAGCAGAGCCGAACAGCCTCTTTGGGTCCCCAGACTGTCCATCTTCCCAGGAGCAGGAGGATTTGTTCACTTCTAATTATCCACAAGAAGAGCTGCTTACACATAAGGATGCCCAGAACAGAAGCAATCTATCCACAGGGAAACCAGCGATTTCAACTCTCAGGTTCCTGACCGACCCAAGGTATCAGAGAAAGAACGAAACCATCTCCCCTAATGGGCCAAACCTCATCATGCAGAGAGCTGTCCCCTTCCTCCTCGCCGTAAGATCACATTTGCCCTAGTGCCTACCATGAAAGACATTTCATTACTCAAATAAATCAGCACTGCACTTGACCTTGCTTCTCCAATGGCTCAGGATTAGTGACATCATGATGCACTCTACAAATGCTCGGGGATGTTGAAATAACCCTCTAGAGTCAAACAACACTTGGTATTTAACAAAAAGACATAAAATTATTTCTGTTTTACTACATGGTACCCAAAATGCTTTCAATGTTTTCATATTCTTAGGCCTTAGAGGAAAAAATGTATGCTTAGGACTATAAAAAATCTCTGAATCCTGGTTTCATTTGCATCCCTATTCGTGGTCAGTAAGAAAGAGAGTCAGTTAGAAGCAAGGGCCCATGCTATTGCTCACATGGCTCAATCTCTGCATGGCTTCTGACCTGCTGAGAAGGATTGCACATCAGCCTTCTCCCGTCCTCAAAGTCACAAGGCAGCTAGGAAGGCAGTTCTAAGGTCCAGTCTCTGTCTCCCATAGTCCTGCTAGAGACCAGGTTTCCCTCCCAAAACAGCAGTAGGAGCAGAGCTCTCCCATCTTGGCCAAAGAGAGAGAGTTGACTTAGATGTTTTCTCCTGGGGTAAGGCTGACTGCAGGGTATGCCACCGGAATACAAGTTCCTCAGGTGAAAAACCCACCGTGCAGAGAACTACCCTTCCAAGTAAGTTGCCCATTCCACTGCTGCTTGCTCAAAAGGGCTGCCTCCCTGTCAACGCGGTGGGTCACCAGCAGTTAAATGTCATGCTGACTGAAACAGGAATCCACACAAGAACAGTTAGACCTGGGAGCATGTGGAAAATGAGAAACCATGGTAAGTACAGACACACTCTCAGCTCCAAACCCAGTGTTCGTCCACTCCCTCCCTTCCTGCCATCCAGTCACGTGACCTCATGGGACAGAGCCCATGTGGGTTTCTGAGATCGAGAATCTTTATAGGAGCAAAAAGCCTCAAATGATAATTTTTGCTGAGTTACAAGTCACAAAAATTACAGTTCCCACGAAGTTATTCAAATGCATCATTCTTCTTCAGTTTTCCTTATTCCGTGTTCAGCTTTCACAATGGAATCACCTCCTCCTGCGCAGTCAAAGTTGGACAGTGGCTAACGAAGACCAAAGAGGAATCCATGCATTGAACTGTGGTGCTGGCCAAGAATACTGAGAAGCACCACGAACTGCCCATAAGCACAAACCTCTCTTGTCCTGGGAGAAGTCCAACCAGAGTGCTCCTTAGAGGCAAAGACGGCGAGACTTCATCTCACACACTTTGGACATGTTGTCAAGAAAGACCAGTCCCTGGAAAAGGACACCATGCTTGGTAAAGTGCCAAGGAGGCAACAAAGAGGAAGCTCGTCAACAAGATAGATGGGCACAGTGGCTACATCGATGGGCTCAAACATGAGAACAATTGTTGGAGATGACAGAGGACCAGGCAGTGTCCCATTCTGTTGTACATAGGGTCGCTATGACATGTACAACAACATGAACAGCACAAGTCATGGAGACTTGTGGCTATGGTTGACTTTATCATCTTTATGTACAGAGAACACTGTGACCCCCCAGACCAAGGTTGGGCTGTCCAAGTTGTCTTGGGATAGCAGACAACTAACATCCAAAGATTCTCAAGTTCATTGTTCCTTTTCAGTTTGCCATCTCTGAAACCCAATCACCAACAAGTGCTACCATGCAATTATTTTTACAGGAAAAATCATTTTCATAGTTGAGTTATATGCAAATGAGGCAAATCTATCTGAAAAAAGGAAAATCTCGATAAAGGAAAAATCAACAAGAATGATCACACAATTATTTTCATAGGAAAGTAGTTTTTATAGCTGAGTCACATGCAAATAGGTTAAATCTACCACAAGAGTTATCTATAAAGTAAAATCTCAATGAAGACAAAATCAAAGGGGGGGTGGGAGTTAGCATGTGTGCAAAACTGAAGATTACGCAAGACAGAATGTCTCAAAGCCATCCTTCATGGCTGATCATAAAACAGTCTTTTTAAAAGACTGCTTTTCTCTGCCTTTAAAGGCAGGGGATGGGCATGGAGGAGTAGTTTTGGCATTTTCAGGAATGAAGACAAGGCCCTCCAAAAACATCACCCGGCTGAGGAAAGGGCGCTCGCCTCGGGGTTCGGGGAATGAGGAAAGACACCAGCTAGAAAAGCAAGGGTCTGGAGTGTTCTGACCAGAGCAGCTACGATGTTTCCGCCTGGGGCTCCTGCTCCAGCCGTGCAGAAGCTCCCGGGGCTGCAGAGGAGCCCTCCAGCGTGTGCAACAAATCCTCCAGGGCGGGGTTCCTGCCCACTTTCCTGTGCGTGTGACACAGACAGGCCAAGAGCCACCAACACTGCAGAGAGCAAAACTCCCCTTGTTTCCATTACATCATCCACATTGGGGGGGGGGGGGAGCAGGGGGCACAGCTGGTGGCAGCTGCACCACCAGCCGCTTTCTCCTTAGCGTTGTGTGCTGGTTTGAGCTGCCGCCTCCTAGGGCTCCCGATAGAGGAGGCACAGTGTTAAAGGCACAACACCCTATTATGAAGAGGCTTTCCAATTATTTAGAAATAAATCATTCTCCTGATAAGTTAGCAGCCTCAGGTAGGCTGCCAAGCCGGTTTCCTTTGGGTTGAAGTTGTTTGTTTGTATCTCTTTAGTCTCCGCTACAGTACAAACTCTGTCAACTCAACATGTCCAATTAGACAAGCAGAATGGGCAGGCAACCACCTGCCATCTGTCTCCCGAAAGGTAAATAGCTGAAATGCACAGGTCTCCAGCTAGAAGTATTGACAAAAGAAGTGGGGTCTGCACGAGCCCAGCAGCCCATGAGCTCCACACTAATGGATGGGAATTCACTGCTGCCTCTGGCATTCCAAGCCTCTGGTCAACCAGCCTACCTCTCCTTGGCACACCTGGAGTTCCTGACAAGACACCACAGGGGGCCCTCAGAATGGCAAAAAGTGATGTTCCCTGAGGCTAATGACTAGTACCACCGCTACTTATTCAGCTGCAAACAGGCAGCAAAGCCATAAACTGGTGGTTCCAGGGGCCAAGCGGGCCCTTGTCACTTTGGATCTGGCCTCGATGGGGGTGTGGAGAAAAAGTGAGTCGATCTCATGGGAACTGATGTGACTGCTGCCCCTTTGGGGTAGGAGGGTCCCACAGAGCTGGCAGCACCAAGTCCTGGAGCCAAACAGCAGTGTCTCCTTCAGATGGGGCAGCGAGCGGGCTCTGAAGCTCTGGTCCTTACCACTCCACATCTGCAGTAGTCACTGGCACCATCAGCACCCGGTAATAACATCGCCGAGCCTATAAAGGGAGATGAAACCCGCAGGGAATGATTTCCCAATGGCCCTTATCTAGTCTCCTCTTCAGTTGAGACTGAAGCTCCAGAATGACAAACTAAAATTCTACAAAGGAAAGTCAGCCCGGAACAGTGGCTGGATCTCAGTACCAGACCAGCCTAGGTCGCGCTCACGACTTCAGAGCAGCTTGTGCTATTTGAAGCGCCGCACATTCCAGGCCAACTTACCATACATTTTGCCTTCGTCTGACAAGATGATTTTCCTCCTCCCACACGGTGGATAGATAGCCAGGGCCTCCTGAAAACTCTGCTCGATGTCGGGGCTCCAGACGCCCTCGGCGTCATTGTCAATCGGCTTATCTGCAGAGTCACTCATCCTTTCCATGTTCTCGGCAGGGCTCTCGCTGCCGCTCCAGCTGCTGGGCTCAATTTTGGCGGTTCGGTTTTCCAAGCCGGAGCCTGGAGCCTTTTCAAGAAAACAAACCTAAAAGAGAAATCACAGGATGGTATGGTGAGAAGATAGGTTTCCACCCACATACCACTCTTGCTAACTCTTGTGCAAAATTCTCCTGCCGGCAACATTGCTCGGAGACTAACTGCGAGCAGAGAGGCTGGCATCTAGAGCTCCGTGTAGCTTTTGTTCTTCCAGGGTCCTTGGGAAGCACTCCGACGAAATGCAACTGCAGCCACAGGTCACATCATCTTCCCAGATGAGAGGAAATTTTTGTCCGAGAATAGTACTCCCTCTGAGTTGCAAGTTTGCAGTGAATTGTGCAAAATTCCGCTCACCGAGAGTACAAAGGGCTAAGCATCTGCATCTGCTACTAACAGGGTGGTGATTTGAGCTCACCCAATGATACCTTCAAAGAAAGATCTAGTGGCCTGTTTTCTTACCAATCAGCCACGGAAACCCAGAGAGTACAATTCTCTACCAACAGACCCAAGATCTCCACGTGGGAAGTGACTCCAGAGCAGCTGGTTCACTCTCTATAAGGACCACTTGGCTCAATGAGAATCACAGGGGAGCACAAAGAAAAATAATTTATAAGCAAATACAGTAAAACAAAAGGTGTTCTCCTTGTTGTGGCAACTGACATCCCACCTATGAGACATCAAGCTGTCCCCGCATGTCCTACTCCAAGAGGCACGGTGGTGGCAGGATGGGGAGAGATGGTGGGACCATATTTTGCCCTCACAAATACTCATTCTACAGACACAGCAAGTGCCTGCTGACCTGGACAGACAGCGCACACACACACACACACACACACACACCCCTGGACACACACACACACATACACACGTACGCGCACATCCTTCACCATTTCTCTTCTGGACCTTTCCTCTTCCAGGCACATCTCTTGACCACGCTCAACTCCTACACAGGACAGCAGAATGCTCTTTACAGGCAGTGTGGACAGTTGCCAGGAGAGACTAGCCCCTGGGAAAGGACATCATGCTCAGTAAAGTGGAGGAACCGTGAACAAGAGGAAGGCCCTAGACAAGATGGATTGACACAAAGATGGACCCAAATCTAAGAACAATGATGAGGAAGGCTCAGGACTTGGCAGTGGTTGCTGTGAGCTGGAATCAACTCAGGGGAACCTAACAACAAGAGGATTTCTACAAGGAACCGTGACACAGGGCCCAAGTGGGACTCATTCCTGTTTTCCCCACAGCACCTACTACAGGTGTCTAGCACATGGGAACAAATGTTCTATACCAGTGGTTCCCAACCTTCCTAATGCCTCAACCCTTTAATGCAGAGTTCCTCATGTTGCGGTGACCCCCCCAACCATAAAATTATTTTCGTTGCTACTTCATCACTGTCATTTTGCTACTGTCATGAATCGGGCGACCCCTGTGAATGGGTCGTGACCCCAAAAGGGTTGAGAACCACTGTTCTATACCCACACAGGGTACTTCCTCCAATTCCTAACCTCTTCTGAACCCCTGATCACTCATATTCCTGTGGGGGAGCCTTTCATGTATTCTCTCTGCAGCCCTGAGGATTACAGAACCCAAAGAAATCTCTCTCAAATATGTACTCCCTTGAATTATGCATGTAACCTAAGGTTACAAAGTGATAAGCTTTCAAAACAAATGTCACACTGGCATCACACCAACGTGAAAATGATCTCATCCAGCACTCTCCTGCTGTCCACCACACCAACATATCAATATCCCTTTGGTGAAAAGGCATTAGATCAGGAACTCAAAACTTTCCTAAAGGGAGGGGGGGGGGCGGGGGGAGAATTGCTCTTGGTGATTACCTGAAAGGGAGAGGCACAGGCCTGAGTGGGGAGGGCTTAGTGCAACCAGGGTTCCACCCAATTCCATGCGAATTACCACAGTAGCACCTAGGAGGGCAGCATCCCAAGGTCCACACTGTGTTCCAGGGCAGGTGTCACAAGCGGCCTGCAGTTGTTCGTGGCCACTTCCCCTTCCCTCCCCCATCCTGCATATCATCAGCAGATCCCAGGTGCAGAGATGTCCAGGCAGGTGAGTATTCCATGACGCACCGTGGGACCAATGGGCGCTTTGGACTCCCTACTCCAGATCTTTTCAATCTGGGAGCCCTTAGGCGGGAAAAACCTTAGGCTGTCTGCCTGGCAATGCTGCCTCGGACCCTTCATTCAAAGGCCTCATTTGCAAGGTATTCTCCACTTCTTCTCAACATGTGTACACAGGGCTTTCCAAAGGGCCATGCGTGGTAAGGCACAGATTACGCCACAAGAAAGGATATCTCAACCAGCCTCCCGATAAACTCTACAATGCCTGTGGCTTGGGCCCTGTGAATTCTCAAGCGGTTAGACGTTTTTGCTGTTGTTGCTGGGGTCCAAGAGTCTTACTATCTAAAATTTCTGCTGCACTCCACTCTGCTCTAGACAACGTTCTGGCTACACATAGTTTGTTGGGGGAAATTATGGAGATAAAAGAGTACCTTCTGCAGCAATGGCTATCCCATCTAATTTCTTCCCAAACAACGCCACACGACCCGATGCAACACAACATGACACAGGTCAGTTGTTGAGTTATGGACGGCTCACAGCGGAATGAATTCACTTGAGACAGACACTGGGTGTGGCCAGCACTAAGCCAGGGTAGTGAGGGCAAGCTGAAGGGACCAGAAACTTAAAACAATCTCCCCAAGGATGCCCTTATGCAACTAGGTTAGGGACAAAAAGCAGGAGTTTCCATTTAACCCTATTTAAAGTTCATGATCTTTAGCCTTAGCTATGGCAAAGTTGGTGTAGGATCTTCCCGAATCATCACTACCACACTTCATTAGACAATTGACCACCTCTGGAAAAGTTGTGACGCGGGCAGGGTGCAGACACAGTATGTGGGGCTCCCAAAAGAGACTCATGTTCAACGGCCTGGGAATTGACCCCTGTTCAAGATAGGATGAGCTGCCCTCTGGGACAGAAGGAGGGTCTTGTAGACTGCCCCTTCATATTACCTCAAGAGCTAAGAAGTATGAGTCCTTGGTTGCTTAGAAAATGCAGTATTTACTAGCACCGGGTGCTTGGTAAGCCAGGCACTGCTCAAAGTGTGTGCAAGTTCCAATTCATTGACCGCCTGGGGAAGAACTCTGTGTCCAGGCTCTTGCAACGTGGTCAGCTGGAGCTCAGCAGGATGGAATTACCTGGTTTGGGCCTGAGCCAGGACACAGCCCCAGAAACTACCAGATACATCATCCACAGCATGAGACAGGCCCTTGGTTTTACAACCCAATTGTAAGATGAGGCTCTGTATGGGCAGAGAGTTTCCGATCACAAGACTGGGGCTGGCTGAGAAAAGCTCCCGTCCTGGGGACCGAAATAGCCATTCTGGCGTTCTATCCCTCAGGTCCCTTTCCATTTCTAGCCCAGCTCAAAATCCATCTCCTCCTGGAAACAGTTCTGAATTCAGTGGCTCTAAGGATTGGCCTTAAAAAAACACACACACATACAGAGTAAATCACCAACCCTAGCCAACCTACCGGGCCTCGGAATTTACAGCAACAAGTACCTGCTTATTATGACGACAGGAACTAATCAAGGAAATTATGCAGAGAATATCTGGGTCTGAATAGCTGGTGTTCTCACCATACAATGTGTCCTTTGAGGGCAGTCAACCTCAGTTCAATTCAGTAAGTGACTAAGAACCTCGGACGAGGATGGGCAGAGAGGAGAGGAAGTGGCTATTTGAAACCAAACTGATCTGGGTTGGAAACCCAGGTCATTCAAGAGCCACACCAAACCAAAGGTCACTGTCATCGAGTTGACGCTAACTCACAGAGACCCTATAGGGCATGGTTGAACTGCCCGTGTGTTCCCAACACAGTAACTCTTTAGAGAGTAGAAAGCTCCATCTTTCTCCCAAGAGCCACTCCACCATGACTAAATTGGTGAACCTTGCACAGCTCAGGATTCCATTTGTAAAATGGAGAGAACAAATTGAATTCAATCCCAATACAGAAAAATCCACCCCACCGGGCTGCCATGAAGACTTATGAGATAATGAGTGAAGGGGAGCTGCCCTGTCACACCACGAGCGGATGGTCATTTATTTTCAAGTCCAGCATCTCTGGACAATGGCATGTGCTTTGGGATGCCCCAACACCTGCTGATACCAGGATGGTGAGGGTAGGAAGGCATTTCCCCTGCTGGCTTCCCTTTGGGGAAATCATTTTACAACAGATCCTCTGCCTTACTGTCTTCAAATGACTAAACGAACCATTGTATTTCTACACCCATCTAAACATGAACTTATTCACAGGCTCAATTGCTCTCATACTTCCTGGGCTGTTCCATTCAAGGGAAAGAAAGGGGAGAGGGTGGGGAAGACCTTTTCTTTTCTTTAACATATTGCTTATCACGTAGGCCTCATGTGCCTCGGTTTCCATCATCAACACTTTTCTGAAAGCACCTTTTCAGAAGTCTTACCAGCCACACTCTGATTCTCTACAAGGAGTGGGTGCAGTGACCCAAGCACTCCTGCTAACTTACTCTAACAGTAGTAGAGTACTGTTACTCTCCTGGATGACGTCTTCACAACTGCCCCCAGACACTTTAAGAAGAGTAACACTGGTATACTGAAATCATTCATTATAAAGGCCAGAGCAAGCGATTCTGAAGCTCCCTCTATTCAATACATGAGCACAGAGAGGTGTGAGGCGGGATCTGAGGATGAATCTGCTGCTCCCTTCATCCTTCTTAACTAAAGCATCTCACCCACTTACACGTCATTTAAAGGCTTTTCGTGGGTGACTTGAAATTATGTGCTTCTCACCTCTAACACTAACCCCGTATGATTAATAGCATGTCACTGAACATGAGAACTAAATCAAACTCACTGCTATCAAGTCAGGTCTGACTCATGGCCAGCCTATATATAGGCAGAACAGAACTGTCCCTGCGGGTTTTCCAGACTGTAACTCTTTACAGGAATAGAAAGCCTCATCTTTCCCCCAAGGAGCAATTGTTGGTTTCAAACTGC